AGTTAAATATATCGTATATATGTAGCGCATTCTCCCTAATTTGAATTCGAACACTTCGAACTCACTCGTCACACTGTTCTATGGTTTAATCCGATATGAGCTAGCAGAGGGACCAAATGGACCTATAGATCATGGGCTCCAACGATCCAAGATTAACTGGTTAAACTCATTAACCTTGTTAACCAACATTCGTTAACTACTAGGACACTCCACTATAGCTTAGTAGTTGCACTCCCCTCACTATAGATATATTTCTGTCCATTTGATATAACCATGATTAGTAAATCGATTCTTCACAGGTTGTTCGTAACTAGAGCTGGGTCAATTAGCCGTTTTACCCCTAAAGTTACTTCTTGTTCCTTATGTCCCACTGATCCTGTTATGAACAATTGGTTTGTGGTCCAACCAGTAAACCAAATCCCTCTCAGGCCAATGAGTGGGTGGGGCCCCTTGTTCAAGACTTGGAGTCAGTACTTAAGGGAACTACCTCTCTTCTATCCCTAAAAGTGGGTAGGAGCGAATTCTATCTTGCACCCCACGTCCCTAGCTATTCACCCAGTCTTACCCCTGAAATGGGAGGCCTATTGAGTCGGCGAACTCGAGCCACTCTCACCCATGCAAATCTAAGGATAATTCCGAATGAACAGAAGTTCATGGTTAGCTCAGGATTAAGATCGAGTTACCTAGGTCATCGAATGAAAAGAAAATCAGGCTCAACAGTAAACGACATTATAAAGAGAGAGTGATTTTCTTCATGGTTCGATCTTATGCAATACTCATTGCATAGGACGCCCCCACTCACATGTCTTCACATGTACAATTTAGTGATCACATTGTTTATATCATATACAAAAGTGGGCAGCATCCATGGTGTCCCCAGAATAAGGTACTCAGCCTTATCCTTATACTATAGATCATTTTGACTATATACTTGAACTTGATCCACTTTTATGTCTCTACATATAGTTCAAGTAATCATACTAAAGCTAGAGTGTACTTAGTTTATTGGATTTAGATTAATGATCGTAAAGTTCACTTTATTCAATAACAATCTTTACTGAATAAACATCAATAATAACTTTATTGAAAATAGAATGTCTTTGTTTACAAACTCTGAGTTTTAGGACATAAAACCCAACATACAAAAGACCTTCCCAATTTGTAATGAAGGAGGTATAACTATAGACAGTAAAAATATTAGACAGTTTACACCAAGATATAGCTGGGTAAACAACATTGTCGAAAAGTTTTGTGTAGGTCTGTGTCGTTTCTGCAAATATTCTCTGATTTCTTTCTTTCCACAGATTCCAAAAGAAAGTCATGATGAAGTTTTTCCATAATGGGGCTTTTGCGTTCTTGAAAGGGTGGTACATGAAGGCCATGTCCAAAAAAATCCTTTACCTCCCTAGGAAATGTGAGATGTCATCCAAATATATTAAGAATCGTTGTCCAGAAATTTTGAGTGCATGTGCATTCCATAAACAAGTGACTTTGTGATTCATTTGCTTTCTTGCATAGTGGACACCAATTTGGAGAGAGAGTGATGCAAGACATTCTTTTTTTTTAAGAATTTCAGTTGTGCGGATGGCTTTATGCGCTATTTCCCAAAGGTAGAATTTCACCTATTTGTTTTGATGTCCTTTCCATATTGTCTTTGCTAGCGTGGGATTTATTGCTTCCACTCTTTCCCCCATGTCCATCATCAAGGATTTTGTAGAAAAGACCCCATCTGCGCTAGGGAGCCAAGTTAGTGAGTCTTCTTTGTTTGACAATATCACAGGGGCAAGGTCGAGGCTTAATTCGGCCCACTCTGTTGCTTCATTATCCTTAAGATTCCTACCAAGCTTCAAGTCCCAAAATTTGTTGACAACATTCCACGTTTCTTTAATCGTGGCTTTTTTGTTGTGAGAAAGCCGGTACAAAAGTGGGTACTTTAAAGCTAGTGTGGTGTTTTCAATCCATGGGTTGGTCCAAAATGATGTGCTTCCCCCATTCCCCACCTTATGACGAGTTCGGTGGGTGATGAGATTTTGATGTTTCTTTATGTACTTCCAAGGCCCTTTTGTATAAGATGGAGGGAGGTGATCTTTGTTTGATGTAGGAGTATATTTAGCCTTTATAAGATTTCACCATAAGGCCTTTTCTTTGTGATGATATCTCCATATCCATTTGGCAAGGAGAACTGTGTTCTTCTTCCTTATCGAGAGAAGACCGAGACCTCCCTTTTCTCTTGGGAGGTTTATAATAATCCAACGAACGAGGTGTACACTATCTTTCCACAAGTAATTTCTGAAAAGCCTTTCTATATCCGCGGCCACTTTTTGTGACATTTCAAATAGAGACATATAGTAGGTAGGGAGGTTGGATAATGTGGCTTGTAACATGATGACCATGTAGACAACCTTCTTTCTATTTTCTCAATAATAACCCTCTAGAAGGAAAAGGATTTGTGATTTCCTTTTAGAGGTAGTCCTAGGTACATATTCGACCATTCTCCCTTTTTACAACCATATATGCTAGCAAATTCTTCAATGATCTCTATGCTAATATTGATGCCCATGATCTCTGTATTTTGGAGATTTATATTTTGTCCAGAGAATCTTTCGAAGGTTTTTACCGTCTCAATCATGTTTTTTATGGAAGAGGCATTCACCAAATCAGAAAAGAGGATTGTATCATCTACAAACTGAAGGTGGTTTATGCTCAAGCCTTTATTACCAATCTGAAAACCTTTGATCTGCCCTTCGTATTCTGCCTTTGTCAGTAGGCGACTGAGACAGTCCATTACCATGATGAAGAGAAAAGGGGGATAGTGGGTCTCCTTGTCTCAAGGCCCCGTGTGGCATAAATTTTCCCTCTCAGTCTTCCATTGATGATGATGATGGAGAAATTTGTGGATGAGATGCATCCTTTAATCCACCCTCGCCATTTTGGGCCAAAGCCTTTTGCCACAAGAATGTTTTCGAGGAAAGTCCAATCAACCTTGTCGAAGGCCTTTTCCATGTCAAGTTTAATGACTACACCTTTTTGTTTCTTTCTTTCCCATTCATCAATGAGTTCGTTGGCCATGAGGGATGCATCAAGAATTTGTTGCCCCTCAATAAAAGTTGTTTTTCAATTTTGTTTCTTGAAAAATGATCGTATAGTGGGGATTGTATTTGAGGAGAAAGGCCTTGGTGAGGGCTCTCTTTTGCCAATCTAAGGGTGTGGAAACATCTCTCGATGCATTTTAAAAACTGTGAGGCTGACAGCGATACATAACGAGTCAAAACAAACAATATCTGCTAGCAGTGGATTTGAGTTGTTACACATCTAATTGTAACTTGCTAGATTTCTCATAATTAATGTTCGAAAGGAGGCCAACTATCTCCCTAGTGAGTTTACTAGTCAATTTGCTATGTTTCTCGACTGTAGTGGCCTTCTTTTTCCTAGATGAAATATTCATGATGCATACGTGGTGTTTTTTTAACCCTGGTTCCAAGATTGGATGGTCGTTGATAGCATGAATTTTACCAATATCTAGTTGACTTCTTCTACCTCTACTTCATTCTGGTTTTCTAGAGAAAAGTGGCAAACTCTGCATTTGCAAAGATAATCTTCTGCGGCGGGAGAGAGAGATTCAACACATTCACAGTGTTAAGAAGATGAAAAGAATGGGGAGAAATCTCACTGTTGAAAAATGAAATTGGCTATTATATAGTGTTATAGAATACACCGAAAACAAGTAAATCTAAATCAAATAACTAAATCAAATCTAATTCAAATAACTATATCAAATCTAAATCAAACCTAACAATTCCTCCCTTAAACCGAACACAAACCGTAATCAGTTTATATCTATGTCACAACAGACTCTTAATAGTCCTCTTTCCATTTTACTCCAACCTTCTTTCAACCCTCAAGTAACTTCATCAATTCTCATGTGTCATTTCTGTTTATTACTTCCATTTCCGATCCATGACTTATTGCTTCCATTTCCAGATCCATAACTTGCCTCCATTTCTCACTCTTCAATGGGTATTCAAAGATTACAGGATCAGGAGTGGTAAACATGGCCAAGTGACCTTCATTATCTTCTTCAGAAAGATCTTCTCCGGTTGCATAGTCTCTCATCCAGACTAATGGTCTTCTATTTCTCCCCTTATTCGAGCTAGGAGAGCTTGCTTTAGCCAAAGAAGGAGAGCTTGCTTCAGCCAAAGAGCCAGAGGAAAGATTTTCCTCTACAGTATTTTCCTCTGCAGCTTCTATATCAGATTCGCTCCCTTCTTCATTTTCAACAAACACATCTGCTGCCTCCTCTTGATCACCCCATTCCAAATCGCACATAATGGTTTCATCATAGGTCTTATCCTAGTCTAAACTCTTATCTTCCTCGAATACAACATCCCTACTTATTACAATCCTTTGTGAAGTTGGATCATAGAATCTGTAAGCCTTTGACTCTTCACAAACTCCCAGCAAAACACAACTCAAACTCTTATCATCCACCTTAGTTTAGTTCTTTTACTGTCAGGCACATGAACATGAGAGATGCATCCAAAAACTCTAAAATGCTCAACGGAAGGTTTGACTACACTTCAAGCTTCTTCCAGAGTTTTATTTTTGACAGCCAATGTTGGACTTCGATTCAGTACATGCAGTCAACAACCTTCAGGCCAAAAACTTTTCGAAATTTTCTTTTCTGAAATCATACTATGAACCATATTCATAATAGTTTTATTTTTTCGTTCTGCAACTCCGTTCTGCTGTGGTGAGTATGCAGCTGTCTGTTGTCTTTGTATACCATTTACATCACAAAAGTTGGTGAATTCTTGTGATGTAAACTCTCCTCCTCGATCAGTTTGCAAGGCTTTAATAAATGAGTATGTTTCCTTCCGAACATGAATCTTTAAGTTTTTAAATACAGCGAAGGCTTCTGATTTTTATATTAAGAAATAAACCCATGTTTTTTTTCATCTGTGAAAGTAATCATGTACCTTTTTTTTCTGTTTGAGATGAGTTTGATCGGTCCACAAATATCAGCATGCGCCAATTGGAGAATTTGTGAAACTTGCCATGTGCTCCTTTTTTGAAACGAGTGCCTTTGTTGCTTACCCACTAGACAATTTTTACATAGTCTCAATGGAGACTTGAGTGGTGGTAAACCATCCACCTCTTCTTTTGGTGGAGTCTTTAATCCGTCTATATCTACATGCCAAAGTTGCTCAATATCTTCTGTGATTGTATTGAAACAAGTGGATGTTAAAGGCTGAGATATAGCATACAATACAAACATTCAATTCAAAGACATCTTTGTCTCCATGATTAAGCCTCTCTTAGGATGAAACACCTTGCACGTTCCATTTTGAAACAAAATGGTAAGCACCTTTGCTTGCAATTTCCCAATACTCAACACATTATTCTTCCGCTCTGGCACATAGAACACTCCTGTGATTATCTGTATGACTCCATTCACTTGCAGCCGTACATTACCCATTCATATTACAACCATACTTGAGTTGTTGCTCCGCTTCACTGAATCTCTGAAACTTCCATCAAAATTTCAAAAATATTCCTTCTTCCCACACATATGATTGCTACATCCCGAGTCGAGGAACCACATATCTTCTCTATTAGCCTTATTCATGTTCACGTAAACCATCAGCAACATCGCTTTTTGAGTCTCTGCATAGTTTGTCTCCTTCTCCTTCCTTTGACCTTCCCATTGAAAATGTCCTAGCTTGTGACACTTATAGCACTCCACTGTGGCCCGCCCTGTTGAAGGTTTGTCTGTCTCGTCCCCTTCCTCTACCTCTAAAACTTCCACGACCTTGACCCCTTCCTCCAGATTGTTCACCATGAGTGATCTTCAAAGCGTGTTCTTCTTCAACATTCGAACTCATGCATTGTTCATGCATAAGCAGGCGACTTTGCAACTCATCAATGGTTAAGATGGTTGTATCCTTGGACTCCTCAATGAAACACACAATATAATCTCAGAATCTTTTCAACTACTTCAACATCTCCTTTGTTCTCACCATTTAGTTTCATCTTGTTGGCTATGCTAAGGGTCCAAGCAAAATACTCATCCACAGATTCTTCTGCCTTCATGTGAAGCATTTCAAACTCCTTCCGAAGAGCTTGCAAATGTGCATGCTTTACCCGTGTTGAACCTTGATATTTCTGCTTCATAGAATCTCATATGTTCTTTGTTGTATCCTTGTTGAGGATTGTCTCCAAGATCGAACGATCTAATGCTTGAAATAGACAATTCTTTGCTTTCAAATCTTTCAACTTCTGATCTTCAATGTGCTTCTTCTAGGTATTTGTGAAAACGATGTCTTCTGTTGATGCAGGAATCCCATTCTCCACCAAATCCCAGTACTCCTTTGAACCCAAAAAGTTTTCCATGCGCATCGCCCAATGATCATAGTACCCATCAAATTTCGGAATTGCACGCTGCACAAATGAACTCTCCATGGACATACTTTTATTATGACACACGTAGAAGATTGTTACTTCTATTTTTAACTTGGCTAAGTTTAGGGCATGACTCTAATACAAAATGTTAAGAACAAAGATAAAACTGGAAAGATTAGAAGAATTGAGAGAAATCTCACACTCTATTGAAGAATGAAATTGGCTATTATATAGCGTTACAGAATACACGAAAAACGAGGAAATCTAAATCAAATAACTAAATCAAATCTAAATCTAAATCAAACCTAACACGCTATAGGGGATGCGGAGCTGTGGAGAGGAGAAGAGAACTAGATGTATATTCGTCATCAGTTTCTTGGTGAGAGCTGATAGTAGAGAATTTTATTCTTGGGACGAGGAAGGTTTTTTGGTTCTTTTCCTTGTTATGCTATCACAACTTGTGGATCGGAAATAAGAAGTGGTATAGTAGGTGGGATTGTGGAGGTTGACTTAACATGGGGTGGGGGGGCTAGTGGCCTTTAGTTTATGTGAGCAAGGTGGACTTTCATTTATGGAGGTGGGTTAGACGAATGGGAAATATTTGGCTCCACGAGGCATGGTCGATGGGGTTGATCGGGAGCTGGGTTTGGCTAAGGGGTTGAGCTATTTTTGTACGAGTGGGCCTCAGAAGTTAGGGGTGATCCATGGTGTTTCAACGAGGTGGGCCACAAGCATCTCATGTGTTCCAACGTTTCAATATCCCAACGAGAGGGAGATCCTTTGTATTTTAATCCATCCTCAATATGAGTGAACCATTGGATTGTTGTATTGTAACAAGTGTTATACCCCTCCAAAGAACAATAGAAATAATAGATTCTCTCTCTCTCTAGTTTTGTAGTGTTTAGAAAAGGTGGGTGGGAATAAGCATAAGAAAGTAGTGTATTACAAAGTAGTGAGCTTTGGCCAGCCCCCAATGAATCCAGGTATTTCGATGCCCATCTGTCCATAAGAAGAAGAAAAAGAAAACAGAAACCATTGTGGGTTCTAAAAATTTCTTAATCGATTATGTGAAGGCAAAGCTGGACAATTCTTTACACTGTCCGCAAATTCGTTAGATTTGAAAATGTTGTGGGATTATCGCCTTGCACTCCAGAGCTATCAAAGTACCTTTAAGGTAAACATAGTCTAACCCATCCTGAATGATCAGTGTAAGTAGATAATCACAACTAACAAGTTTAACACATCTTTAATGATTAATACAAAATGAGAGAATATTCAACCATCCTTTTACTCAACTCTATCATTGAAAACATTATCATTATATCTTGTTTCATTCAATTATTTATACATTATTCAAAGATGGTATGTTATGTGTATGTTTATTATTTATATTTATGATTTTTATTTCCTTAGGAAGACCGTCTTTCTTTTATGCAAGAGGAGCTTGCATTTTAAGATCTTCTAATACAAGAGAATATGAAAAGAAATACATCAACTTCATATTCTTCCAAAATTTGAGATCCTACTTAATCTGGTCTACCTAAGGCTTTAGCCACCACTACTGTTGGAACTCTAGCCATTGTTTGAAATGGCACACTCTACCTCCGACAAGTCTACCGTCGAAGATTAGCCTTAAAGTCTAGTTTCTATTGTAATTTAGAAAATCTGATTAGAACCAAAATCCTAACTCAACTGATAAAGCCTTCATCGTGATAAAGATTCATTTTGAGCCTACGTAGCTGCTGTTCAAGTTTCCTTTGAAGCCTTCATAGATGATCGTGACCAAATTTCATTAAGTCTGCACATTTGGAGTCCCACAATGCAGATAAAGAAGCACATAGTCTAGTCTATACAAGGTGCCTCGTAAACTCTTCTCGATTAGTCTTCATAAGAGCGTGGGTGTTTCAATTGGTCTTGATAAAGAATGCGAGGGTTTCTCCAAAGAGTTATTAAGTTTTTCATTTTTCAAATTCTAGTATTCTAGAACTTGCACAATAGAGTCATTCAAGTGGTATTGATCAAACTTTTGTGAAATGATTCGAATCACGAGTTTAGAAACAAGTTTTCTTTACTCTGAATTTTGATCATTAAGGTAATTCGTTCCAAAACTTTCCCTTGAGTTGATTGTTTATCGTTTATGGAGTTCTTAGATATTTTATATTTAAAGGTCTCATTCTTCAACAAGAATGGTAAACCAAATTCCCAAAGTTACATTTTGTTGTTTGTGAAGCTCTAAAGTATTAGTCTCTTGTGATTTATTTAATGAAAAGTTTCGTTCTTGTAAAAGAAAAATTAAAAAATGGATGCATTCCTTTTCTTTGTTTTTGTAATCAGATTTAACAGGATTTTCATGTAAGAAACTACATAAAAGTAAATTATGAAGCTTACAGTTCCTGTAGCATAAAGAGCTTTCCAAGCGCTGATGGTAATGGACCGGAGAAAGTGTTAGTCCCAAAGGCCCTACAGTTTCAAGAAAAGAACAAAAGCTAAATAAATTCAAAGAGAAATATGGCAGCACGACAAGCTATAATGATGATATGAATCTCCAATTTGAATACTTTTTAATAACGAGGAATTTTATGCACTTAAGAGAAGAAACCGAACTTCAAGCATGTAATGATGGTTGTAAGTTGTCATAAATTCAATGAAAGGTTCATTTTCTTTTTCAAAAACTAAAACAGATATCTTACAGAGTAGATGAAAAATGTCCAAGTTCCTTCGGAAGTTCCCCTGATAATTTATTAATGCGAATGTTCCTAAACAAAAATTTGACATGGATTAGGAAAAGGAAGAAACCTTTTGACAATAAGATCTTTGTTGTCTATAGAGGTATCTAAATCAATATCTGATTGGCTTACAAGGTGTACTCAATTGCGTTAGTTTACCAACAGACGGCTACAGTGGCCCAGACAATAAATTTTTCTCCAAATTCCTGGGAGAAATTAAGAGAGCATCGGTTAACTTCACAGCATATATGATTCACCAGCAATAGAAATTAAACGAAGGGGCAACACCAAGCAAAGCATAAGGAAGAAAGCAGACAGATAGGGGAGGGAAACCTTCCTGCAAGGTTATATGCACAAAATGAGCAGAGAATGTCAAAACGCACCCAACATCAGTGTTTCCAAACAAATTTCAAGCAATTCCAAAGCAGTTTCCACATTTGAAGGTTTAGATTCTACCATTGCATGTCCTTGTTTAATGAACCTTGTGTAGGATCGGTGATAGTTTGTGGTGCCGCGTGGAGGAGTAGGTGGTTGAAGAAGAGCAACAAAGCTAACGCCCACGCCGCCATGGATTCTGATATGCATTCACTTCAACTTTTAACTATAAACACTACACTCTTGAACAATCCCAATTTCCAAACGATGTAAGTCAACTTCGTCCAACTCCAAATGATTTAAAAGTAGAATAATCAATAAATGATAAGACATACAACTCGCTCTTGCTCCACTCATATACTACTATTCGAAACTGAGAAAACCATCATTGATTCTGAATCACAGTGTGGGGGCAGCAAATGAGTCTCTCCTATTTGGGCACAAAAGATTGGGACATTTGTGAGTCTCTCCTATTTGGGCAGTTGGAGAGGACCACTCATGAGTTACCCACAGGAAGATTAGGACATTTGTGACACCAAACGGATTCTATCACACCCTATCGCTTGAATTTTCATACACCTCTTCTTCCTTCCTCACCAATAGATTTCATTTTTCTATCAAATAAATAACTACTTTCTATTTCCCATTAATTTTTGTTTTAAATAAATTTGTTTATTTGTGTAATTATGATTTTTATATAAACTTCTTGTTACCATGATCATGTTAATTCAACAAAAACATATTTCAATAAAATAATAATTTTATATTTATATAAACTATATGTAATAAATTTTATTTCAACACATTATGCTGAAGAAACATAAGAATAAATAACAATCAAATACTTTTGTTTATTTCGTTCTTAATTGAAGAATAAATAAAAAAAATAAAAAAAAACCCAGAAATGTTGAACTTCATCTTAATATAATGCATTGAAAATAGGTAGTCTCTCTAACAAGTGTGATATTTATTATGGGAAAATAAGTTGCCAGAACCGGCTTGGCCCAAAAAATTGTAGCAGTTATGGTCACACAACAAACAATAATGTAAGATACAAATGGGGTGAACTCTGCAAATGAGTGTAGCGAAGGAAGGGAAGTAAGAATTTAATGAAAAAGAAAAAAAGTCCCTGCGTGTGACCACCTCCAACTTTTCATCCAAGGTTCCTCTCCTCTCAATGTTCTTATTTTAACGATGATGGGGAAAACTGAGCAAAAAATTGAGATTGGAAAAAGCATCAACCATATATTATGCAATTAAGCAGTTGCTTCCTTCAGATAAGCAATAAGGTCGGCACGATCCTGCGGTTTCTTCAGCCCTGGGAAAACCATCTTTGTTCCAGGAATATACTGTACAATGGATACACACATCCCCCAACTTTTTGTTAGAATATTTACCAACTGAAACACTACCATCTCCTAAAACTTTGAAAGAGACATAAGTGATCATTGATCAAAGAAGGACAGACAAAATTCATAAACCAAGCTCAGTATTCTTTTCATTCCTCCAAATTTACAATTAGCTTCACATTCCTCTATAAACCATAGCAATCATAAGCACTTGAGTTACTGCAGATTCCACACAAGAGGATGCATTTTCAAAAAAGGGTTAGAGAACCTTAAAGAATATCGAAGATGTTTCCTCAAAAAAAAAAAAAAAAAAAAAAAAAAAAAAAAAAAAAAAAAAAAAAAAAAAAAAAAAAAAAAAAAAATGATGGAATGCAAAAAATATGTTGGTTTGGGAAGAGTTTATATGGAAAATGAAGATGAAAAAAGAGGAATAATTGTTCCTTTTCCAAGTTGTTCGCCTTTATAAAAGCTTTAAGAGAGGTGATTTACAATGACTGTATCTCTAAAACCTCAGTCAGATAGAACATGATTGGAGGGTTTGTAAATTAATTGGATGGGCAAATTTGGAGGTTTCCTTTCCCAAAAGTTTTTCCATTTTCCTTGATTTTGAAAGGTAAGACAATTTCATAAGGGAGGAAACACAAAATTAACATCAAGAAAGAACTACAAAGATAACAATGGTTCAGAAAGCTTGGCCTGTTTGGAAGAATTTATAATACACACTTTATCGCACCTTGGTGAATATTTGAGAAGCAATTACAGAAGTAATTGAATATTCACATTACAAAATAATTATTAAAAAAGATTGCAGGGTTGACAACGGTATTAAAACTATTTTAAACATTACTTGCATTACTTGCGGATTACAAAAGAAAAATATTATGATATTTTTACCAAATTTAATGTAGAAATGAATTTTCTATACAAAAAATGGTGAACATGTAAATTATTTAAATTTCTTATAAATCCCAAACCAAAACAAAAAAGATGAACATAGGTTACACAAACAAAACCCCATTTATCTGCACAATTCAAATAGTATACTGACCCCTGTTTCTTAAAATAAACTCCCAACACAAGCTTTAACATATCCAAACTTAAGAATCACAACCTAACAAACATGGTTCAATGATAAAACAACGAGTATAACATGGGATTTTATTCGCCATAACCAGAAGACTTGTTCCTTTCCTTTCAAGCCAACAAATAGGCAAAAAATAAATCATCAAACATTGTGGCCATAGAGCCATCTGTCATCAAGGAATAAAAAAACGGTTTGAAGTGCTGAAAATGAGGGTGTTCATAAACACAGTGAGATCATAAGGGACATTATCAAGGGATTTGAGTGAATGTTAACACTTCAACTCAAACGTTCCCATAGAGAATTTCACTTGCTTTGGAAGTTTTGAATTTTTCATTTTATAGCCAAACTGAGAAGAATATACTGGGATTTTCCAAACTTCCTTTGTTAGTTATGTCATTGAAACTCGAGGGCAAATGAATATTTCCATTGAGAGGAAGCCCTAAGCAAGGGTTCAGGATGAACTTTGTTATAGCTGCAAGAAGAAGCGAAGAGAGCAAGGGAAGACACATAACTAATGCCTAAATGGATTTACCACGACGATACACATTGGGACCAGAGTGTTCCTAATAGCATCGATGACAAAAAAGTTAATCATGTCACAAAAGATAGATTTAAAGGCAAGTGATTTTCCTAAAGGAGACTTGTGAAGCAATCGAGGGAAATTGTGGAAATCAATCATGTGTCAAGAAACTATTAACGTGCTTGTCTGAAGCATATTCAGATATAAGAGGCAATTTTGTACGTTTTATTTTTGCTTAAATTATGATTGAAACACCAAGTGAAGAGAGATTTGTGACGCAAATGGTGGTTGACCATTCTTCAAAACTTTTGGCTATTATTGTAGAAAAGGAATGTACATATTTTTGGTTCAGGCAACTTGTAAGATGGTAAGAGACGAACAGGTGGATCGAAGTTCCCAAAAACATTTCAGCACTTGGGAATCAGTTGAGGAGGCATTATGAAGAAAAAGGCTAGTAAGGAACACGGCAAGCCTATTTAGGTGTATCAATGAATCAACAATTGGAACATCTGGACGACAACGCAGGGAAATAAACTAGCTTCAAATCAAATACTACAAGGCCACAAGTGTTGAGAAATAGACGGGAGTTACCTTCTTGGGGTTAAGCAAGTAGTCATACAAGGTCTTTTCTTCCCATATCACAGCCATATTCTTGTTGGCAGCAGAATAAGAGTATCCAGCAGTTGTGCCAGATTTCCGTCCAAATAGCCCATTCAAATTGGGACCTGCAAGATTCCAAGTGCCATTGCTCGTCTTAGAGTCTACTTACATATGAATATAGAAAGGTTGATTTTTTCCTAATGAAAAAGCGAAAGGGAGGGATGAAAATCTACTCCAAATAAAAAATAAAAAAGTCAAACATATTCATCATTGTAATTACGCAATAACAAGCTTCGTACATCCACAACTCAAAATCTAATGAAACCCAATTGAAACAGAATAAAAGTAACAGCAAATCTTACAACTTGCGTAAAATAGCACAGAAACTGGAGCTAAAAAACTAATAGCAAAAATTAAAAGTAAGAAGCCACATACTATTGACTAAAATCAATTGTTCGCCAAAAAAAAAACGAAGTTAATGAATAATTAGTGAGATATAAAAAAATTACTGTATTAAATGATTTCTTTTATAAAAAAAATCCATATATTTGTTATTAGTTTCATAAAAGTAAACGCTTCTAAATATTTCGAAAGTCATTTCACCAAGTCAAATTTCCATAAAAAAATAAATAATAATAAATATCATGTTCCTGGTAGGCGGTTTCGTTTCGGGCAAGGACAATGAATCAATGGAAAAATTTGATGAAGGCCAATACTAGGTATTAGTTTCCTAGAGTATATTGGGGGAAATCAGAGAAAACGATCAGATCGATTCAAACGTAGCAAAACTCAGCATCTGAATCCTGAAAGATGGACGAACATGTTCAGATTACTAATAGAGACTTCGAGATCTCTAACCTCCGATCTCGAGTCGCAAGAAATCCAAACATATAAATAAGAAATGATAATCTCTAACCTTGCTTGTGACCAGCACCCTTGTCGACAGTGTGGCACTGAGCGCATTTGGTCTTGAAAATCTTCTCTCCAGCTTTGGAATTGCCGGGAGGGGCTTCGTCAAAGCTGGCCATGGCGTTGGAATGAGATGTTGTTCAGATCTGAGGGCTAGGGCTCGCAATGTTTCTCGTGTCCTCCATACTCTGCATCCTTTTATACCAACGCACCGCAGAGGGCCTTAATTGTCTTCTTACAGTTCTCTATATTTATTTATTTATTTATTTATTTATTTTTCTTATTTGCTTTTAGGTCGGCATTACAAGCATTGGTCACCGCATATTTTATAATAATACCTGGTGAGAATTGTCTGCGTTGCCTTCCCTACCGTTGATTCTACGCCAAATATTTCTTCCATTCTTTTTTAGAAAATTGCACCAACCACCCCTCTAACTATCCAATTTTCACATTAGCCCTTCTCAATTTTTAATTTGCCTAATCAACCTCCAATTCTTGTTAATTTTAAAATATACACATCCGCTTACATTTTTTTTAAGTAATTTTATATTTATTTATTTATTGTTTATTGTCCCACCACTCTTAAAAATTATATTACAATTATATATACGTATAATTTATTGTATATACGCATATTTATTTTATTTGCATGTATATGAAGTGATTCTGCTTGGGTTATGCCCTTTACGATAACGTATGAGGTCCTCTCTATATGTACCAAAATCTATTGGGATCATGCTCTAATGAGTGAGCTCATTTATTAGGTCATTCCTTGCACGTATATGGTGTAATCATATTAAGGTTATGTTCCAATAATTGTAAGTTCACTCCTTGCATATATGATACGAATTTACTCGGGTCGTGCCCTAACGATTTTGAGGTCACTTTTTG